TATGGCAGCACTGAGCTAAATCCCTGGCCCCATTTCTTTCATTTTTTAACTTTTGCATGAATTTCTTTTAACTTTAATTTTGTCTTATAATTATGTAAAATATTTACATACTTCTTTGGTTTTTTACTTTTTGTTTTTTGTTTTTTTGTTATTTTGGGTTTTTTTAGTACCGGGATTGAACTTGGGTTACATAGCTGTTTTTTTTTACTTTTATATAGTATATATTTTGTTATTTTATACTAACACATTCTCATATTACAAAGGCAATTTAGTGGAAGAGTCTTTCTTTTGATATTTGAGTCATGTGAACACAGCTATACATTTTTTAAAAATGTGTGTGGATAACAACAACAAAAAGACAAGTTAAAACAACAACAAAATAACTGTCCTTTTTTACAGGTGGACATTGAAGTGGACCTAATTCGGTTTTCTTTTTAAAAGCCTCCAAAGATGAAAAGCAGCTTAAAATCTAAGATGAATAAAAAAAAAAATTGGTTACTAAACTACTGGTCTCCAGCACCATTTTCTGTTTTCTGTTGCTTTGATGCAGGTTCTTCTTTTCTGTTTCTTCTCTTGCTCTTTTCACTGGCCCAGCTGCACCATTTTCATCACGTCCTTTATCACTATCAAAGTTTGTTTTCTTGCCCTGAAATTGTACTTTTCCTTTAGCAGATCCAGGCTGGGCAGCTTTATTTCCTTTTCCTTTCCCTTTAAATCTGCGACCTTTTGATTTCCATTTGTTTAGAGATTCTTGTTGATCTTCTATGATTTTTTTCAAAGCTTCTTTCTCCACCTCTCCTTCCAGTACTTCCCACGTCACTTCTTTGTTCCTTAATTGTAGGGTACCATTGTTTGCATCTTTGGCTTTATCCAGTGCTTCCTTGGCTTTTTCTTTAAATAGAATTACTCCCTCTTTTGCTCCTCTGACAAAGTCTATGCATTTTATTTCACCATGATTTGAGAAAAGGACGTGCAAATCTTCTCTACAGGTCTGATCATCTAAGTCACCTGAGAACTTCATCAAGCATCCAATCTTTTCTTCTAGAGATTCCATTTCAGCATCTTCTGCTAACTTCTGTTTTTCGTCTTGCTTTTGTTTAGCTCTTAATTTAGCTTCCACTTTATTTTGCTTTCTTTCTTAATTTTTCTTTGCAAAATAATCTTCCTTAAAAAGTATTAGCAAGTCTGTGTCTTTATACCTCTGGCCCGGAGTTTCTACAAACTTCTCAGCAGATTCAATGCTATCAAACACAGCGCATATTGATCCCTTAAGTGCTTTGTGTAATGTTCTTCTCATCTGGATATTTAGTACTTGACCTTGATCTTCTAGCCATGCTTTGATATCATCGAGGGTTGCATCTGTTGGGAAGCCTTTAATATAAACAGATCTGTTTTTTACATCATTTTTATGCTCAACAGTCACTTCAGGAAGGGGTTTGTTTGGAGATCTTCTGGTTTTAGTTTTATCTTCACTGATTTCCATCAGTTCTGCTTTAGATTTGCTCAACGCTTCAACTATTACATTAAAATCTGTCGTTAGGCGATTGAGCCTGTTGAATTTTATCATTATTTCCAAGGGTACCCAGCCTTCATCCAATTTGGTCTGTTCCTTTAAAAATTTGTTCCGTGGCAAATTGAAGTCTCCAAAATAATACTCAATTTGATGATAGATTTTGGCCTCCAGAGCAGCTAGTTTTTCATTATCACCATTTTCAGCCATTGTGGCTAATCTTTAAGGCCGTTGTTCCGCACCACACCTTCACGAACAACAAGGAAGACCTCCCCACTCCTCAGCGCTGCCGGCCTAACTAACGCGCTCAAAGAAGATGGGCGCTCTCCGGGCAGTCCTTGCAGGGCCCCAATATTTACATGGTTTTAAAGTCAAATCTATAAAAAAAAAGTATATTTGAAGAAGTTTAGTTTGTGTCCCTGCTTCCTTTGTTCTCTTTCTTTCCTTATGGTAAACCTTAAAAAACTTTAAAAAATTTTTAATTCTCTTTAAACATAAGCACATATGTGGATTTTTAAAAGATAAACCTTATATACGTTTTTCTCCACTGTATTAAGTTTTCTTGGTCTGGTCATTTTATAACATTATCTCTGTGGGAAAATACGTTTGAATTTGTATTAAGCAAATAAGCATTTTAAAAAACATAGTATCTTTATAAATTAGCACTCATACTGAGTTTTGTTCAATCATTTGTTCATACAATAGATACTGACAATGACCGTGGGTCCAAGGGAAGTTCCAAGCATTGCAGAACCAAAAGCTATTGTAATACTAGGGGACTCTCTTTTTAAAATTAATATAAAATTATTAATTTGCTTGAATACTCCCAGCCACAACCCACTCTCTCAGGGGCCGCGCAAGCTTCATGAACTTCCCTAGCTGTCAGCCCCTGGTGGATCTGTGCTGAGTGCTGTCTCCCTGGCGGGTCCACAGAGCAGACACTAGCCCTTATTTTATGCAGCTTATATGGCAGTGCAGGAGATAAATACCAAGTAAGTTTGAAAGAAATGCACAGTTACAAATTGTGCTTAAATCTCTCTAATGGATCAAATTATGTTTTCCCCAAAATTGATATGTTGAAGTCTTAAACCTTAGCATCCCAGAATGTGACTGTATTTGGAGAGGAGGATCAAGCTAAAATGAGACCATTGAGGTGGGCCCCATCCAATGTGACTGGCGTCCTCATGAGAAGAGGGGTTTGGGACAGGGCTATGCACAGAGGGAAGGCCATGTGGAGACACAGGCAGACAGCAGCCATCTACAAGCCCAGAGAGAGAGAGACCTCCCTCCAAAGAAATCAACCCTGTTGACACCTCAGTCTCAGACTCTAGCCTCCAGAGTTATGAAAAAATACATTTTTGTTGATTTAGCCATACATTCTGATACTGTGTAATGGCAGCCCCAACAAATGAATGTAATGCCCTTTAAAAATGTTTGTCCAAGAAGTGGTGAGGACCTTGTTAGAGAAGCAACACCAAGGAACTGCATAGAGGTTAATATTTGAAATGACTAAAATAATGAACTATGGGGCCAGGGATTTAGTTCAGTGGTTTCACCGCCTGCTGCACAAGCACAAGGTCCTGAGTTCGATCCCCAGTACAAAAAAAAGTAACAATAAAATAATGAATTATGATAAATAAAAAAGATTCAGTTGATCCTGTTAAAAGGCAAAAGGAATCAAGGTGCGTTTGTTTCAGGTAATTATCCCACAGTCTAAAGAACCAGATAGTCCTCTGGAGACAGTCTCTCTAAATTAATTACCTAGGATGAAAAGCTAATGTACAGCCAACTTCATCACAGTCCACAGACTCTGAAGTGTTGAATGAGCTTGAAGTTTAATTTTAATTGTAAGACAAAATTTATTTGATATCATTCTTACCCTAATATAAGGACAAGAACTTCTGAAGAAAATGAATATTATGAATTATGCAGCTCAAACACTTCTTAGAGAAAGAATAAAGGAAAGTTATGTCTTTCTTCATGGTTCATTAAAGAGATTATGGAAATTATAGAACCTGAATATGCTAACAAAAAAGCCAGAAGCATAGACTGACCAATCGAGTCTAATATTTCACGTGGATTGCTTTAGCATGGTTCAAAACCCTGATTCTACATTTAAATCTCTTGGGAAGTACTTTTCTTGGTACTGGGGATCGAACTCGGGACCTTGTGCTTGCAAGGCAGGCGGAAGAACCACTGAGCTAAATCCCTGGCCTGGGAAGTACTTTTATAATACCAATACCTGGGTCTCATCATCTGAAATTAAATTCATCTGGGATGAGACAAAGATATCACTTTCTAAAAAGCACCCCCGACAAATGTTAACGGTCAATAAAAACATTTTTTCCAGGGGAAGCAACAGAGGCCAGGAAGGTACAATAGGCATCAGATACTAATTATAATGATGCTGTTAAATGCTAGGACAAAACTCTAAGAGAAATTCAAAGGCTAATCATAGCCTGTGAAGATGGCTTTTGGTGAAAGAGGCTGTGATTGGCAAAGGTGATATCCAAACAGTGAGATAACCAGTACTGTACCTAGAGACATCTTTGGCTATCTGGCAGGGCTCAGTTGGTTCCACATTCACTTCTATAGACAGAACTTAGAGCTGTATAAAGCCAGCATCTTACTCTGACTGAGACCCTTAGGTCTCTATCCTGCCCTTCCATTCATTCCCACTGGACATTTTGTTTGGGTACTTCCCACATACTTCTAGTGATTTGTCAATAGTGCTCTGATGTCTACTTACATCTTAGTCACAAGAATAACTCTCAAATCCTCTCAACTGTATTCTCTAGGCAATAAAAAGTACAAGTCAATCCTAACTCATTTCTATTACCCCAAAGACTCCTATTTCTGCTCTTTACTTTTGCCTTGCAGTCCAAAAGTAACATATTTTCTTCCAGATTTCCTATATCCTGTATATTTCTTCCCTTATTCCATATACCTTCTATTCCTCTTTGGTAATAAATATGAAACTATTTTTCTTTGAAAGTCTGTAATCAGAAAATACTGTCATATCTCAGAAAATTTTCATCCCCAGATCTTTATCATTTTCCTCAGAGACCCAATAGAACAGTCGATCTTATATTAAATGCAAGGCTTTAATAAGAGCTATTTGACATGCAATAATCATTTGCATAGTCTTCTGGCCAAGCAGAGAAATTGCTAATGTCTGTCCCTGAAGGAAATGAACTGTGCAAAAAATTTCCAGCAAACACAATCCAACTGTTCACACAAATGGGAGGTTGCATAAGACATTCATTGTGCTTTATCCAAATTTCTCCTCAAATTGCCACAGATCAGCATGTACCTCACTTCTTTTCCACCAATTAAAATCACAAACAGATGACCTTTTCAACAGAGGTGAACAGAGACCTGTCTTCTCCACAGATGGTGAATGTCACATGTCGCAGTAATGGCCCCACACACCATCAGGGTGGTGTATAAAACCAGTGGGGCACAGAGTACTCAGCCCCAACTGCTCTATGTTTACATCTGCCCGATTCTCAAGATGGATTTTCTTCATAGGAATGGAGTGCTCATTATTCAACATTTGCAGAAGGACTACCGAGCTTATTATGATTTTCTAAATTTTATGTCCAATGTTGGAGACCCCAGGAATATCTTTTCTATTTATTTTCCACTTTGGTTTCAACTTAATCAGACAGTTGGAACTAAGATGATATGGGTAGCAGTCATTGGGGATTGGTTCAATCTTATATTTAAATGGTAAGACTTCTGTTTTTTTCTTTTTTCCTAAAACTTCTTAAATTTGTTGCTTTAGCTTAATGATCAAATTTCAGATGTGTATAATGTAACTTGGAAAAAATTTCTAACATATTAATTAATATAAAAATTAAAACTAGATTCCTAAATAGAAATTACAAAAAGTATAGAAATGTATACTTTAACTGATTTATAAGCAAATTACAAAACCCTATAACATTTTTTGATTAACCTAGAAGTTAAATGAGCAGCATCATTATGAATAAGTTGATGATTTTAGGGATCACCTTGATATTTTCTAAGTACCCAAAGCATCCAGAGGACATTCCTTACAAGAAAAAAGTCCTTATGTTTATGGGACACTAGGGTGCCAAAATCCCAAATGACTACCATCCTCTACAATGAGTGAAAGACCGGAACCCAAGTAATTTCAGAATCTTTTAATCATGAGCTTTCCTCATCAACTTTCTATTTAGTCATTTTTATAGAAGAAAATAGTCCCCAAGTAAGTCATAATTGTGTGTTTAAATATAACATGTGAATATTTATATTTCTTCAAACACAGGGTATTATTTGGTCATCGGCCTTACTGGTGGGTTCAAGAAACTCAGATTTACCAAAATCACTCAAGCTCATGCCTTGAACAGTTCCCTACTACCTGCGAAACAGGTCCAGGTAAGGAATTAAAATAGACTCAAGTTACTGAAGACATTGCAACAGACAGTCATGCATGATTATCGTCCCATAATGGTTATGACATTATATAGAGTATTAATGAAAATGTCATGAGTGAGGATGCCAAAAGTTCATGAGCATCAAAATTGCTAATCAGAAAGAAGTTTTATGGATAATCAAATTCCATTTTGTTACTGGTGAACTGGTAGGTTGGGAGAATACTCCCCAAATGATTTTATAACTAAGCAATTTACTTTTTGAAAGAATGTAATGACTTGATACTAAAACAAGCAGACAAACAGAACAAATTCCCAAAGAATTTTATTAAGGTCCTAGAAGTGTTGACTTATCTGCTGTTCAGCAAGTTTCAAAGTTATTATAGGTCTCCTGAGAATCTCACGAATAAGACAACAGACACAATTTTCATAAGGAGGGTAAGGTCTTCCCAATATTACTGTTTCTGGTAAACACTATCTCTATTCTTAGAACAATTTTTTTTCTCTTGTATGTGCAATATATAAGTAGGCTTCTTGGAACTTCCTTTTTTGTTATAAATAAGATTATGAATAAGAAATATAAGACTATAAAAAGAAGGACTGGGATGTAGCTCAGTGGTAGAGTGCTCACTTAGGATGTGCAAGGCCCTGTGTTTGAGCCCCAGCACTGCCAACAACAAAAGAAAGTTTGCAAAAAGGTTATTTAAAAAGTTATTTTAAGTGTATATAAAAGAAAATTACATGTTATTTTAATTTAATTTATAAGGATGTGATTTATTGTATCTCACCAGCTACATAGCATAAAATTCTTGCCATTTGAAATCCTTTAAAAATAGCCCTGAATATAGTGAATGCGTGTGTTCTGATGCATTTTCTGAATGTCCTTTCTCCTCCCATAAAATATACATATGTCTGTCATATCACTTATCACACTGTACTATAATTCCATTATATATGGCTGCCTAGACTCTGCCTCATCAGGGCAAGGGTGACATGTACTTTTATCTTTGTGAAATTAATGTGATGAATGGATACACGAATGGGTGGATGGATAATCTTGGTGATGATTCAAATTTTGGTTTGGTCTGTTCTAGCACTTCCCAGCATTTATTCTGTCCTCTGAGGTGTGTGTGTGTGTCTATGAGATATGAGATGAGAGAGAGAGAAAGAGGGAGAGAGATTCTATATTTACCCCTTGGAGACATACAATTCTCTTGAGTATACAAAAGCTTTTGAAAATTCCTATAGATTGGGAATAGTTTTGTCTTCGTTTAACAAGAAGGAGACTAGTATCTTGTTTTTTCAAAGTCAGACTGTGTTTAATCAGAATGAATGTCTAGTAGGGGGAAAATCAGGGACAACATCAAAGTACAGTGATTAAAAATAAAACCAAGCAGCATGGGAGAGACATTCTGGGATTTGAGAGGCTACCTGATTTTTCTGCGAGGGTTAATGCCCCCTCTACAGCTTCTCCTCACTCTTGCTGCGTAGCAAAGATTCTCATTGCAGTGACCACAAGACAGGCATACAGATAGCTGCTTGCACACAGCTGTCATTTCTAAGTCAATCAGTAAACCACAAACCTAGCAATGAAATTCTTAGGAGTTTGACTTTTCAGTCCTAGGAAAATAAACTGATTCAAGACCCAATAAAAATACTTTAATGTTCTTGTCAATTAAAAACAATCAGATATGAAGAATGAATAGTGTTGTGTTAAGATTTTGGTGCAAAAGCCTGAGTTCTTAATTACCCTGGAATACATAGACTTCTGAAATTCAATGAACTTGAAAACCCAGAAAACATATTTCTGAGATAGAGTTTACTCAATTTGACTCAATTTTCCTTATTTTTACCTACTTCCTTAACATTACATTTTAGTATATGTGCTGCCAAAGCAAGCACATTACATATTGTCAATATCCTGCGGGGTTTTTTCCTGAGTTATTTGTAAGTCTTGTGCCAATCATACTGTTCTCATGTCTATTTCTGACCTTGATATTTAATTAACCATCTTTCAAATGGGTACCACTTGTTGCAGGAAGTCCATCTGGCCATGCAATGGGCTCGTCGTGTGTCTGGTATGTCATGGTAACGGCCGCCCTGAGCCGCTCTGTCAGTCCGATGGATAAGTTCTCTGTCACTCGGCACAGGTCAGTTTGGCTTGTTTCTGTAGCATTAGAATTAACATCTTTGAACACAGTCTCTTCTAAGAATTCATTTTAGTGTATTTTTAGTTGTGGAATAAAATGTGCTTATGCTGTTCTATCATAGCCAAAGTAGCAGAGTGAATAGAAAATTAATATCTTGCTTTAAGATAATGTCCTAATTAGCTCATGGCTATTGTCACTTTAGAATAGAGTTGGAAATGTTTGACTGATCAATGACTTGCTAAATTTACCTTTGGTTTTCCAAAATTCAGTTCTTATTTTGGTAGCTCCTAAACAAGTCATCTAAAATTATGTATGAAAATATTTTTTTGTGTGCAAGTTCTCTTGCTTTAAGATTAACTGCGAGTTTTAAGACTAATCATTCCCCTTGAATACTTCAATTTATGAGGCAAAATTATGTTCCCTACTTTAAATAGCCCATACTTTTTAGAGCAATAATACGTATTCTAGCTTTAATGACGGTGCACCCTTTTTAATTAAAAACATATAGAAGCAAACTTACATATGAATGTTAGTAGACTTAATTTTAAGAAATTTCTTAGTATTTAGAAAGACCCAGCACTTTAAGATTACTCACAATTTGTAGGAATTTGAGATTTTTTTAAAATCCTTAACACCACTTTAGATATAAATTATTAGGCTACCTACGATGAGTCAGTTAAGTTTTAAAAATAACTAACACATACCATTATATAAGTTCTTTTAAATTAAAAACATTTCAAAATCTATCACATATTTTACTTTTTAAAGTAGTATTGAAGAATATAAAAAACAAGTCTCTGTAGTTTATTCCTTGTTTCAATTAACAAACCAAGAAAAATCTCCTTTAAAAATTCTTATAGCTCCATTTTTATTTTTATAACAGCAAGATCTTCTCCATCTATAAAAACTCGCTGAGTGTCTTCTTACCTTGACATTACCAAATCCTTCTCATTTGTCCCCTTGGATACCCTCTGCTTACTTCCTCTTTGATATTCTCATTTCTCTTCACTGCTCACTCTTTCTCTAAATTTGTTCTGGTTAGCAGGGATAAACCATTAAGGATTCCTAGAACTCTATACTGCTTTTTTTGAATGACAAGCATTGTTTGGATTTTGATATTTTTATAAATATTTTGCACATTGCTGCTTCTAAATGAAAGTAATAACCTGTTTCCTTCTTCGTTACTTTCTGTATCTCAAAAAACAAGGAACCAGGACTTTTTGAGAACTTGCCCTGGATAGAATGCTCATGCTCTTCTTATTTAAAGAGTAGCTGCTTCTCCAGTGTGTTTTCTTCAAAAAAAAGCTGAGAGAAGAGGGTTAAGAGAAAGCACAAATGACAGAGCATAAAAAATATATATGGTCTATCCTTCATTACCCTGGATATTATTAATGCCCCAAAACTCAAATTTCCCCAAATGTTTTTCCATTAAAAGTTTTCCTTATTCCAAAGACATCAAATTAGTTCCTTTTTAACATTTATTAAAATCTTGGGAGATAATGCTAATTAAATTTAATATATTAAGATGTGTAGAAACCTCTGTTGAAGTTTTTGAATCCTATGGAGCACATGAAAATATTTTGGAAAAAAGACTAGAATCACGTTCTGTCACAGCTAGAAGATTCCTCTGAGACCAATCACCTGGTGTCACCCCCCACCCCCATTTTGTGAGTGATACAGTCTGTTTGCATTTTACACTTGTATCTATTCTTCCATCGTAGACTGACCTGGTCATTTCTTTGGAGTCTTTTTTGGTTGATACAAATCAGTGTCTGCATCTCCAGAGTATTCATAGCAACACATTTTCCTCATCAAGTTATTCTTGGAGTAATTGGTGGTAAATATGATCACTTATCTTCAGTTGTATCATTTGAAAAGTTTTACTTTGTCTTATTGTGTCAGTTTCTCTTTGGTAATCACTTTTCCAATTTCAGAGATAGTTCTATTTAGCCACTGATACTAAATGTTACCTTAGGAGCTTAGATGGTTCTATACACTTCTCATAGCCTCCATGTACACAATGACACAGTTTCACCCAATGGTACAGATGTGTAACTGCGTAGTGAGATGAGCTTTTCTATTGTGTGACTACAGCAAAGACCAACTCCCAAAGCTCACTTCAGACATGGTACTTGTGCCTTGCTTTGGGAGACTTAATAACCTTGAAACCTGACACCAAGACACTCTCTCTGAAACATCTGAGGTGGTTATTGCATGACTGGATTTCATTTAGCAACTGCTTTGTATTTCTGAGCTGTGTTTACCATGACTGAGTTTCTGATGTTCAGCCCCATGTACCTTTCAAAAGCTCTCTAAGATGGGCCGGGGATTTAGCTCAGTGGTTCCGGGGCCTGCCTTGCAAGCGCAAGGTCCCGAGTTTGATCCCCAATACCAAACAAACAAACAAACAAACAAGAAAGCTCTCTAAGCTAATGGGCTATGGCAATTGAAATATTAATTACAGGACCCTAGATTAGTCTGCCTATAAAGTGGGTTGTCAGTGCCACCAACTCCTGCCTGATCCTTATGGGACAATATGGATAATTAAAAAACTTTGGGGCAAACTGTGTTCTCAGTTAATGCCTAAAAAGTCTTTAGAAATTGACAGAACTTAGGTGTCAAAGCCCTTCATCACTGAAAACTATAGCTAAATTACTTAATGCAAAAAGGTACCATTCCTGAGGGCCTCAAGAAATCATCAGTGTCTCCTTCCAATCCCCAGGTATGCTGGTGGCAGAGGCCTTTGAACACACTCCAAGCCTCCACATGGCCAGCTTGAGCACATACCTGAAGACCAACCTCTTCCTCTTCCTGTTTGCACTTGGCTTCTACCTACTTCTCAGACTGCTCAACATTGATCTTCTATGGTCTGTGCCCATAGCCAAAAAATGGTGTGCCAACCCGGACTGGATCCATATTGACACCACACCTTTTGCTGGACTTGTGAGAAACCTTGGGGTCTTCTTTGGCTTGGGTTTTGCAATCAACTCAGAGATGTTCCTTTTGAGCTGCCGAGGGGAAAATGGCTACAAGCTGAGCTTCCGGGTGCTCTGTTCCATGACCTCATTGGCCACACTGCAGCTGTACCACTTCATCAAGATCCCAACTCACACAGAGCATTTATTTTACATGCTGTCTTTCTGTAAAAGTGCATCCATCCCATTGACTGTGGTTGCTCTGATTCCCTACTGTATACATATGTTAATGAAACCAAATGAAAAGAAGTTTAAATAGAGTTGTACAGAGAGTTAGTACTCTCTGGCCCCAGGATTACCCTTCTCCATCCACCCTTAAAACCACAGAGGAAGGAGAAACTGTGGAGCACATCACATCAGAGGCAGCAAAATGGTGGCTCCAGCCCCAACCCACCCACACATAGGTTTAGTTTGGCCTTCACAGTGTTGTTGCTGATATATTTTAAAATAGCATCTAAAAACTAGAATATTTGACATAAAATATCTGAATGTTTCTATTTTCTTGAAAAATCTGACCATAGGGCAACACAGGGCCTGCCTTCCCCCAGAGACATTTGGTAGGAGCTAAGTACTGACTGCTTCAATAGAAGGCAGACACTCTCCATTTTGTCACAGTCTTCATCCCCCAACAGAATCCTCAGTGTCAGACAACTTTATCATCTTAAGGCTTAGCTGCTTCTGGTTTTTATGGGTATTATAGTCAAATCCAATCTCCTCAATTATTAGATAAGGAAATGAAGGTCCATTCAGTTCAAACAACTTGCCTGTACTCCTACCATATAAGAATAGGAATTAGAACCCGAGTCTTCTGATATACATTTCCATTGCACTCTGTCTTGTTTCTTCATGTTTAAAAATTAAATATCAGTGAGAATAAATGTTCCTACTTAGATTCTATGATGATTACCATATATGACAGCTATTTCCTCAGAAATGTCATCGAAATTCTACATGCAGTTTAACTTACATCCTGCACATAGGGTCCGGATGGGGCCAGCATGCTGTGTATGTGTACATAAGCATATCCAGTGAAGATGAATGAACCAGGCTCTCATCAGGACATGAACCTCCTAAATCCTGCTCACTGCTTCATAGTTGTGCTTGTCAATATTTCAATAAATGCTCCTGAAGAATCTCTGCTAGAACATTATCCCCCTCCCAAAGCCTATCTCTTCCCTATGACATCCTCGCTTTTTATTTTTAGGAGCCAATTTTTCAAAACTATGAAAATCAAGTGCCTTCTTTGAATTCATGCTCCAATTCAGGAATACTTTTAAATACTTGCATCTGTTAGCTGGATTGATCTCTATGGATACTGAACTCTGATGGAAATCTACAGCTTTACTTTAGAAAATAATTAATTATAGGCTATTAATCTTATACTAACAATTTCTCAGTAAGGTTTTTTTCCCTCATTGGATCTGGGCTTTAATTTGGTAACTGTGTTGTTCCAATCAAGCACAAGGATTTTGAGTTTGATTTTGCTATTCATATTAATGACCTGTGATCCACCACAATGTTTAATGCAATCTTTCTCAAGAATATCATTACATGAATTATTTTAGGTGATGATATATTAAATAAGCCATAAATATTTATGAAAGCATAACCATTCAAGGGAATGATATCTGACAGGATATTAGTTGTGCAGAATAAAATTTCTAAAAACCAAAGTAATTATTGAGCCTTTTTCTATTTATGGATCATGTGCTGCTGCTTTTACAAAACACATTTAATAACTTTCTTTTTAAAAGGTAATTGTTACTGCGAAAGATTTTAAGCTTTGAGTTCAGCCAATGAATTTAAAGGATAGCTGCTTCCCACATGTGAAGGTTTAAAAAGCCTGCTTCCCCGCCACTTGGTGCACATGCTGCCTCATGTCTGAGTGCACTCATGCCCTTCTGCAGAAGTAAACTTTTAACTTTGCCTTGTTGAAAAACAAAAAAGAAGTAATTGTTTCCTAAGCAAAAAGCTGAGGGATAAAGAAAGATTATCTTAATAATTTGTGTCATGTTGACTGGATGGTGGGGTAAAAGAAGTAGCAGAGGATGATTCTTGTTCATTTCTTCACTTCCCGCTCCCTGCTGTCTCTTTACTAGGTCACTTCAGTCCTTTAACACTTCTCCCCATCACATCTCCTTGTGCACATAAGAGGGATCTGATTGCCCTCTAAGCAGCCCTTTATAAAGTCTCCTATAAAGTTAGTACTGTTCTTTTTATTCTGTTTTGCATTTTTTGATGTGGGGAATCAGACCCAGGACCTCACATATGACAGGCAAGTGCTCTGCCACTGAGTTCATCTTGCAGAGTCTTCCAGTCCAGTAAAATCTTAGCCTGTTCTCCTAAGGCCTGAGCAAAGCAGGGCATTGGTAGCCAGAAATTCTGTCACTGCATTTGACTGTATCGTGAATCCCATCTCAGTTGCCACAGAGAAGCTCTCTTCAGTTGCCACACACTGCTCTCTTTGGGGGGACATGCGATCCTCAGATAGGTAATAGAACAAGGTGCAAGCTTGTTTTCTTTATTTCATCCCCATCAACTCTACCTCTATCTGCCATAAGCTTCCAGAGAGCTTGTGAGGAGATTTTTCTTTCTACTCTAGTTGCAGTCTCTTGGAGACATCCATGTGGTGGCAAATTGAAACTGGTGCTATTGAAACTGCTTAAGCAATAAGAGGAGCAGTGTCTCACAGCTTTGGAGAAAATGCTTGCCTTTAATAATGATGGAAAAGACTCTCCTTCCAATTTGTTTGTCAGTCATAAGTGGAATGGAGCTCATTTGACTTACTATTACTATACCCATATATTCAAAATGTCTACACATCTACATATTCAGGAGAAAAATGTCAGTATCGTGAGATTTCAGGATGAGAAACGCTAGACAACTAACTTGAGAAATTGTCCAATCAAACATAAATTTGAAAGACAATGCAAAGGAATTTATTATTGCTGAAGCCAGCTATCAAGAAGAATGTTGATTCCCTTTCTTTTTTTTTTTTGTTTGGTACCGGGGATCAAACTCAGGACCTTGCACTTGTGAGGCAGGCGGCAGAACCACTGAGCTAAATCCCCTGCCCCTGATTCTCTTTCTTTTGACAGCCTATCTCTACCTGTTTTCCCATTACAGAAGCACAATTTTTTAAAAAAATGTCATAAGGTATTCTTGAAATTCAAAATTACATCCCCTAAATATTGTATACTCAGAAATTATAAATAAATAAATTGAATTGGTACATGTACATAAAAAAATTTTTGGTAGAAGAAAAAGTAAAAAATATGGGATTGAAAAGTATGATTTATTTCATAATTATAATAAAACTATATTTCTCTGCATTTTCAGTTGGAACTTTTTACAGGGAAGGAGATATTGTGTATTTGTGCTGGTCAGTACAATAGCCACAAGCCTATGTGGCTACTGAGCTCTTAAAATGTAGCTAATGCAACTGTATTATGAAACTTATTTTACTTCTAATTAGTTTAAATTTGAGCAGTCATCTGTATCTAGTGGCTACTGAACTGAACATTACAAGTCAAGTTCCACAATGCTCTTCCTTGAAAACAAAAATATTTTAAAAATTTTAATCTATCCCCAATTCCAACAAGACTACCTGAATCAGCACTAACTGCTGTAAGAAGCTAAAGGGAGATTCTGCTGAATTTTCCAGAGGGACTCTGCAGATCTGGGGTTCTCTGTGTAGCTCCCTTTGCTCTGTCTCTGTCCTATGAGCTCTAGCCACCTTGGTTGCCATAAACTCAGCTCTAGACCCAGCTCAGTCTGGGTCCACCCCCCCTGTACCATGTTCTTGTCCTAGAAACCTGAGGGCCTCACCACTGGGTAGAGTTTTACATAATACCCATGACCACATTCTGAGTTTAGGTGTTTTTGTTTCGTTTTCTTTTGGTACCGGGGATTGAACTCCGGTCCTTGCACTTGCAGGGAAGGCAGCAGAACCACTGAGCTAAATCCCTGGCTCTTATGACCACATTCTGGATGGTGGGAGGACTTCTTGACCAGATTTTCCTGTTGCTCTAAGTTTAGTATTCACATATGCCTAACACCCGCACTTCTATAGTTGTTTGTAAACTGTTCACAAAAGGCTCACTACAGTTCAGGGGTCCTGGAGGATTTTACCTTCAAGAACAGTTTGTTTTAACCAATTTGATAACTGCAAACAGCTTTCTAGAGGAATATCTGGACCCCAATGTTGGTAAAAAACTAGAGTGGTCTCCCTAACCATTGCCCCTCCCTGCTCTTTAATGCTTCATATGACCATCTCATTCCGAAGGCAAGGTAGTACCATTTGTTCATTTTTTAAGTTTTTAATTTGGTTTTCTTTAAAAGAAAGTTAACAGTAGAAAAAATCTGGAGGAGAAAGCAACTATGAGAAAATTCTAAGAATTAGAAGTGCTTCCTTTTCAGCTGTGCAAAGGACAAATGCAGTTTATGTCAAATCGGAGGCTGGTTTGGTGAGACGCACTAATTAATGTCTTTGCTATCCTTTGATGGAGATCCCAGTAATGAATTAGAAGAAATTACATCTTATTTCTTTTGGTAGCACAGAAGTGATTGCTGTAAAGGAAGGAGAAAATTCAAAGATTGAGGTTATAAAGGTTAGCATAAAGCCAATTAATTTTCTCCTGTTTTGAGTTTTTAAATTTCTTAGAATCTTTTATTTTTCTCTAAAATTTTGCCATGTAATTTCTGAAGAAAAACTCTTCAGTTCAAAAACTGTGATGTTTCCCCAAAGGACAGGATGTCCTGAAGGAACTGCCAGAGTATAGGAGGGGAATGAATGAGTGGCAGCCACTTCGGTCCCTCTGAATAGCATCTGTGGCACAGACCAAGGGCTGCCAGGAGAGTTATTAGATTAGAAATGGCCAACGCTTCCCTTTCCCCTTTATATGCCAGAAAGAGGCATGGATTGATGGACAGCTACAGTTGCTGCTATCCTGGATGCTCCATACCCAAACCTGGGAGGTATCTACCCCAACCATAGTGGGCTTGAACTTGAACCAAGCAGTAGAATTGAATTTGAAACAATGAGTAGGCTTGAATCAGAAGATTTAAATTAAAACCAATTTGGACCAATCAGCAGGCTGAATTTGGACCAATCACACATCTGTTGCTATATAAACAGCATTTCTCTCACTTTCCTCTGCTTAGTCTAGGAAGGCTCTCTCCTACATTGAACTTCCTGTGCTGCAGCATGGGCCCTGTCCTAATAATGCCTGGTTCCAGTGGGTCTCAGGTAGTGTGAGTTTAGAAAATCCTATAAATCTACTCAGGATTCTTCATCTGAGTAGTGTGGACAGAGCAGTGACATTTAAAAAGAGTCATTATAAAAACCTGTTAGACTGATGTCTTTACTTTCCTTGTTGTTGAAACAAAATACCCAACACCTGAGGAGAGATATATTTTGACTTACAGTTTGTAGAGGTCTCCGTCTGTAGTCAGCAAGCTCCAAGGTGGAACAGTGTAGTGGAAAGGCCTAGATGGAGGAGACCTACTCATTGCATGGGGAAGCAGAGAGAGGTCAAGGAGGAGCCAGGAAGAGAGATAGATCCTTCCATGCCACTCCCACAGTGACCTGCTTCTCACTAGGCTCCACTCTTCCAAATAGGCCCTACCTCTCAACAGCAAGCTAGCTATAAACCCCCGTGATCCAATCTTCTTCAGAAGGCCCACCTATGAGTCCATGAGGCTCTTAGGGGGACATCTAGATATAAACTCTTAACACCTGAAGTGCTCCAGAGACCAGAAACTAGAAGTGTTAAAGAGCAGCATATGTCATTAACTGGCATTGACTTGTGGTTTTGTTTGGCAGTATCCAGCAGGGGTGACCCATTGACCAGTGATAGCATCTAGGGGTGGCAGAAACCTGCAGCAGCAGTTGCCAACCTAGGGTCCTCAAGTGTAACACTAAGTGCTGAGGGCCATGGGCACTCAAAGCCTGGGACTGCTAGCAGAGCTGCACTTTGCAGATCTGTGATTTCTTTATGAATAGAGCAAAAGAGCACTTGGCCGATTGGCAATAGCCACACATCAACCCTTTTCTGGCGCTGTCCCAAAAGAGGGCTGAACCCCTTCCCTGGGATGATCTGAGTATTGTGAGGAAGAGCAGGCCCTATGTGAGCCTAGGGAAGAGACCCAGCCCTGAGTGAATATCTCTCTTTTAGCTCTCACCTACCCTTGTACATCCTTAGGCAGTCACTCTCTCACTCCTATTCAAAGGATTGCTATTTCCCCCAGGATTTAGGGTTTGTTTTATGAACAACATTGGCCAAATTGGCACCTGTGCCCACATCCCCTGCTTTTAATGGAATTTCCTAGAGGTGGGCATCATATCCACTCATCCTTGCCTTTCATAGACACACCTCTTCCCCTCCAGTTCAGTAATTCTGGGTCGAAAACATCAGACCCTTCACATCTCCATTTCTATGTAATCATTCCAATCTCTGCCTTCTTACAATTTTTTTTCAGTGAAAGAAATGATGGAGCCCTTGCTATCTTTCTACATGAAGACTACATCGGCTTAGCAAAAAGAAAGTAAATGCTCCCTTCTGAGTTTTGAAATACTACATCCTTTCAGTAGAGCTGGCTCATGAAGAGTTCTACCTGTGGATCCCAAAGAGCATCAGAATGTTTGTGGGTGGGGTTGAGAGGGGAAGATGTCAGCGAACTCGAAGATAATAGATGTACAAATGACTGCATG